GGGGGGGGGGGGGACCTATATGTTTTGACAGAGGAGAACTTAAAAAACATCTCCAAAAAACAGTCAAAATGTGTTTCTTTAACAATTCCATGAACTCCAATTATTAAGCTCTTTTTGCTCAGTATGAACACCTGTTTGCCTTTTTGTGGTGTGGAAGCCATTTCCACTCATGTGGATGTTTTATCACATTCCTTTCAGTGCCTTTTATTTGAATTGTTCTCTAAATCCATTGTTAGTGCTCCCACAACATTATCAGTGCCTTCAGTTTGCATTTACAGTGGAGCAAGAAAAGGAAGAAAGGTCTGGGCCAGTACTCAAACCAGGTCTGGATTATGGAAATGTTTGTGGCTTGTTTAGTCCATACCCTGCAGCCGTTAACACCTGTCTGTCATTGTGCACAGACTTTACACTCCATCATTAGATCCGCAAGTGTGTAAAACACGCATGCAAAACGGGCCAGGATAGTAGTGGCAGCGGTGCCAAATTCTCTGTGTGTTTACATGTGTTGTGTATTGTGTGTATGACTTTGCACTTTTGCAGGTGTTCACCTAAGGTAATGGCTACAATTTGTGAATTCATGTTAAAGTAGAAACTGGCAGGATTAGCTATTGTCTAGGAGATGACTTTGATTGATATCCTCCCTGGTTTAATAGCGTAGTTCTGAAAATCCACTGAAACGTGTCTCACACGGTACTGTTCTCAGTTCTCAAGATTCTTCAGAGCAGGCACTCTTAGTTTTTTTAATCTAGACTAGAGGATTGAATGTCTTATAGTGGAATGGGCGTGTAGCCAGTTGAAATGATTGCAATTTCTCATCTGGAAAGAGCTGATAATGGAAGTAGCAACTTGTGCATCAACCTTACAGACAAAACTCTGAAACAGTAAGAATGAACAAACTGAGGTGGAGCATCCTCCTTGTCATGTTACAGGTTTAAAGCTGTGTACCTGAGGACATAGACAGCTGAACAGGAGAAGGACGTTCCTGATGTCAACCAGTAATGAACTTTGTTCCTCTTGTTATCACAACTCTAAAGTTTCCTTATCACGGTGCCACTGCTCCCCGTGCCTGTGTGCCCGGACGGCGGGCTACGTACCCAGACAGACGCCGTCTTGTCCAGCATTCTTTCAGTGAAAAGGACCCTTCGATATCTTAGTCACTGAGAAGGGGATTTGGTTACACACAAAAGGAAATGGGCCTGCCGTGCTTTGCTTATGAAAGCAGTGTTAGCACTTCTTGGCAAAGGTTGGTTAGCGGGTACACTCTGCTTGATACAAGGCGCCTTATTTTCTATGTCAAAGTGGGTCTACTGTATGAAAGATCTGTATTATGTAATTTTGTATTTACAACCCAAGACGAATAATGACAGAAGAAAAATTTTAGTCTGATTTTCCTCTATTGTCTGTGGCATAGCAAATGGTTTTCATTTTTAGGTAAACTAATGCTGAAACTATTGCTGTGAAGCAGTAATGTTTTAATTTTGGCATCAGATTGTCTCTGGAACTCAATATAGACTTTCACTTTGTGTTGATGAGATGCATTTTTTGGTTGACATCAAGGTTAGTATTGTGGCACATACTGTACATTTCAGTTTCTGGTTTCTCTCATTGACACTTCTTGTCTTTTACTCTCTTCCACTTTCTCTATTCCTGTCAGTATCCATATCGCTCCCTCCCTCTCCCATTTCTCTTTAGACAGCTGGAGGAGCTGGACGCCTTCCGTGAGGGTAAACAAAAGCTGAATTAGGGTTTCTTTTAAAATATAGCTTGATGTAACAGAGGATTAAGAAAGAGGAACACTACTACCAGCTGTGCATGCATGCGCTAATTCAGCAGTAGAGACGTGCACAAAACAGCCTGTGTTTGTCTTCAGGACTGCAGGAGTTGTACTTGTGTTTTTGAACCGGATCTATATGTGTGTTTGTGTCTATTCACATGCAGTACTGCAGACATGGGATGTGTGTAAACAAGGAGTTGGACCTGCAGCCAGTTCATGGAGAGTGGGGTCCCTGGGGTCCTTACAGCGTTTGCTCTAGGACCTGTGGTGGAGGAACCCGGAGCACCAGCAGAGACTGCAACAAGCCTGAGTAAGAAAGAATCAGACAGTTATGACAATCTAAGTTAATAATGACTGAAAATATATATAAGACAAAGCAGTCAAGCTAAATTGAGGAACAAACCTGTATCATATTTCTTTTTTTCTAAACTTGATCTTAAAGGTCCAGTGTGTAGGATTTAGTAGCATCTAGTAGTTTACTCTTTCAAGCACGAAGGAGAAACTACAGTCACAGCAAAATGCATGAAAAACTAGAGCCAGTGTTTGGTTTGTCCCTTCTCGGGCTTAGCTGTAGAAACATGGCGGTTTAACATGGTGGCCTCCATGGAAGGCAAACTGCAGTGTCTGTAGATATAAAATGCTCATTCTAAGGTAACAAAAACATAAAGATTCTTATTTTCAGGCAATTATACACTAACGAAAGCATAGTTATGCATATTATATTCCATTTCTGCCAATCTGTGCTCCTAAATGTTACAAACTGGACTTTTACGCAGCAGTTAAGAGAAAGCTTGTCTCCTGAATTTAAAACTGAAACTAAGTGTCTGGTCTTACTCTAGGCCCAGAAATGGCGGGAAGTTCTGTGTGGGTCGCAGGATGAAGTTCCGCTCTTGCAACACTGAGCCATGTCCGAGAGGACGGAAAGATTTCCGCGAAGAGCAGTGTTCTCAGTTTGACGGCAAGCACTTCAACATCAACGGTCTACCTCCCTCCGTCCGCTGGGTCCCCAAGTACAGTGGCAGTGAGTACGCCAATGTAATCCTAAAGCATGCAGTTTGAATGTCTTGCGGTAACCTGAGCTGCAACATGAAAGATGGATACTATTTACATCCAACTACACCATGTAGTTTAAAGCCAGTGATACAGTACATCTGGTGCATTTCACTTAAATTTCTCCATTTTATTTCTCCATCAATCCGCACCCAGTTATTCACAATTCAAAGAGTCCACATTGTTTTTAGGAGGGATGTGGAGACCAAGACACGCAAAATCTTGATGTCTCTGTCTCCACTGCACCTGAATCTAATGCGCTGCTATTTGAATGCATGAGGTGATAAGATAGAAAGTTCTTCTTGATGAATGGGTGGATGTGTAAGTAGCAGTGCACATCTGTGTGTGGTTTTTCCTTTGTCATATTTTGCATACCTGACTAGAGCTGCCTGGGGTAAACCTTTAGTTGACACTAAACAACAACATCAATAAAGCAACACACAGCCCTTTCATATGAACCCCCTGGCAGGTTTCCCTCTTGCAGCCGTATCTCATTCCCTGCCGAGATGGCCTGCCCAGCTACATAAGATTACCATCTGGCATAGCCCACTATGTCTAAGTTACTGCAAGTGATTCATTCATTTAATTGATGCTATACAAGCAAACAGGCCAAGCCCCGGAGCCAGTACACTGTCAGATACAAAGGGATTTTTCTAAACAACGGATAACAATTTGGCAATTCTAGCAAGATTCTGCTGACTTTGAAAGAATAGGTATGAGATCAAAAACAAGAAGTGTTACGTTTTCAGCGCAGGCAAGTCATCTCTCGCTTTTCATCGTGTTAGCCTTCAGGATTTTCATTTTATTAATCTCATTAACTTAATGAGCTGCAGTCCAGCTTTTTTATAATTGATTTTCTTTTTCCATCCAGTACTAATGAAGGATCGCTGTAAGCTCTTCTGCCGGGTTGCTGGGACGACGGCTTACTATCAGCTGAAGGACCGCGTCATCGACGGAACGCCGTGCGGGCCAGATACTTTCGACATCTGTGTTCAAGGCCTTTGCAGGGTATCTGTCTGGTTCTACTTTTTTACTGAACATATGCACACACACACACACAAGCTTCAACATCAATGTCAGTTTAGCCTTAACTTATCCTCATGCAATCAATACTATCAACCTACTCATACTTGTACATGATTCATGTTTTGTAATTACTGGAAAGGGTAAAGCTTGAGTTTTCAGTGAAGTGTTTGTGAGTTACCATCAGAAACACCTGCATTTGCCAAGTTTATGATGTCCAGGTGAAACACTGCTGTTTACTGTGTCATCTAGAAGCTTTAAACTAATAATTTTAGTACAAAAAGTACAGAGTATCACATTACATCACTCTAAATCACAGATTTATATCTTCTCCTCATTTGTGCCTTTTCAGCAAGCAGGCTGCGACCACGTTCTTAACTCAAAGGCCAGAAATGACAAGTGCGGCGTGTGTGGCGGGGACAACTCCTCGTGTAAAACCCTGGCAGGGACCTTCAACGATGCTCAGTATGGTGAGTCCCGCTGCTCGGATTACACGTGTGGAACACTAATAGCTGACTCCTCAAGGTGTTGCTACTAAACATACTGTATGTCAGCAGCTTCTGCAGATGAACTACGCTCTGCAGTAAACATAGAAGAGCTAAGAAAGACTTCAGTTTCATGTGGCTGCAACGCTGACATGTTTTATGCTCATATTAGGTGCTGATGTCATGTCTGGTTATGTTTAAACATATTAAGCTTGATTTTCAGCAACAATGTGTGCTTCAGCCAAATTTAGAAAACTGCAGAACACCAATGTTTTTCTAAAACTTTAGAAACTGATTAACACAGCGAGCTCGCGCTGTTGGGTCTTTCGATAGCAAACACAAATCTGACATCACCCCTTTGAACTGTCCTTAATGCGGTGTTGTGTGGGCCAACTGCTGATTGCATCCAATCCTTTTTCGGTCTGGGCAACAAAACAGCAGAAGCATTAGCATAAAAGCCCTGGGTGTGGTCTCCGTCAAGTTTATTCTGCATTACTTTGGCGCTGAGCTATAGTGTCTCTATCCATCTGCTTTCTCTCTGCGCTCTCTTGGCTGGGGTACAGGGTTTGAGGACTATATTGAACCAAACCAGGCACTGTCCTCAGCTCTGGAAATCTTACTTGACCTTAAAAAAGAGAACACGAGTGGGAGTGCAGCCCAGGCAGGATACCCTGGTGTAGGCCTGTCTTTCTTTCACCCTTTTTGTCCTTTTTTTGTTTGATGTGTCTCCATTTCTTAGTCTCTACCATTGTCTCTTTCCTTCACTTTCTCTGTGTAAATCCTGAGCTTTATCTTGTTTTTTCTATCCCTTCTTCACCAGACAGACTAAAGGTTAGGCCAGGGCAATTTCTTTAGTCTTTTGGGGGAAATCAAAGTGAAGTCATGTTCATGCTGACCATTGAAATGACACAGCATTTTCCTTTTAGGCTGTTTATAGGTATTAATGGTGTTATACTGTATAACTGAGACCTGAGTCCTGAGCACAGTCCCATGTGCAAGGCCTGCTTCTGTCATTTTCCAGTACTATAACAGATAAAAATTTGACATGTGTATGTTTAAGTGTCTATCCTATCTTTATATTAGTTTTAGTATAGATTTCAAGTAAAGTAAGACTTGAAGCAGTCAGATCTAATGCCCAACTATATTACATGATACATGTAATTCCATATAGTGTGTGATGGTATCTAGGACTAACCAAAAAAAAGTATTTTGGACTATGTGGTTCTTGGTACAAGTCAGTCTCTGACACCTTACCAGTCGCCTATGTACATCATACAAGCTGTGGTTGGTGTCTATCACTGCGTCTTTGGCCAAGTCACAGCAAAGATTTAAGACTGTATGATCATCTAATGTGACACAGTGAAAATCTCAAAAAAATAAAATATCGTCTGGTTTAATCTCTGCATAAATCAAGTCTCATTGTGACTCGACACTCAAGTCCAAGTCTCAAGACTTGTGCCTACAGCTCTGGATAAAACCTAAAAAAAAAACTATAAAAGCTTCTCAAACCCCAGTGAATGCCTAGAGTACCTGAGATTTATAAAAAAGACTTCTGTATTTTATGGTTTCCTCAGTTGAAACTAAAGCAATGAGTACAGAAAATGGAAACAAGAAAAACAAACTTGGAGGTTAAATGCTTCCTGTTTCAGAATATAAAAGTAATCTAGTCACAGTACCTAAAAAAACAAGAAAATGTTTGCCATCAATTTAGTCTTTAGTATCCTCTGACAACTTGCATCAGGGTGAGCGTGTGACACTCAAATTTTCCACTGCAGGCTATGAATACATCATCTTGGTTCTTGCTAGTGGCAGAGAGAAGCATGTTTGAGGTAAACCCTAGTGTTTCCTAAGTGCGGCATGGTTGTGTTTTCTTTCCCTAAGATTGTACGTTCACTTTTCATTCCTGGGTCACTTTGTGGTGGCGGAGGATTGTGTGTGTGGTCAGGTGCTAAGCTGGGGATTCTCGGAGGCCCTCACGGCTTGGGAAAACCATGTTTCCTCAGAGGGGGGCCATGTTGGCGGTTTCTGAAGTTCATGCACCCTGTTTTTTTATGAGCTTATCCTGTCCCCAGTGTTTAGGGAGGCAATTTGACATGACACTTAAAACAGTAACAGTGAGGTTTGGGTTTTATTTTGAAGGAATATGCAAAGTAGTCCCTTTTTGATGTTTATGAATGTAAAGTAGCACCTGTGCAGTGTGGCTTAAAATAGTAAAAGGTTTTTCCATCATGGTTGACATGGCTTGTAATGACATTTCAATGGATGTGTGTGTTTGTGTATATGTGTAAAAATATCTACATGGCTGATGTGAGGAAGATATGTAAACCAAGTGCTGCCCCCGAGTGGCTCAAGGTGCTAGACTAACCATCAGATCACTTTCCCCTTTCCTCTCTTTCCAGTCACTTTATGTTTTATTTTAAAGGCAGCAGTCAGCAGTCGGAAAGCCAGAAGGCACCTGACCAAGCGCTTGTTGGTTTGAATTCTCATTGAATTGAGTCTCCTCTTGTACGCAACAGTCGTTATTAGCCATTATTACACCTGTGGTAATCTCTTTGAACTTCCAGTGATTTTACTGGACTTACTTAGTGCCCAAAATTACAAAATTGTGGTTGCATCAAACATTTTGTCTGTCTTTTTCTCTCTTCTAATTGGCTCAATTTTCTACCATCCTGTTCAGTCTCCATCCCTACATTTTCATTGTCGCCTCTTGACTGTGCTCTCTCTTCTTCGTGCTCACTCGTTTTCTATGTTAGTTTATCATGGGACAACACGCCCGGTGTAGTAATTACAGGCCAAAGGTAGGTCCAGGGAATAATTACATATCATTTCACGGTCAGGCCTCTGAGACTAAAACAAGGCCTCCTGCAGGTTATTTGAGAGGACTAGACCTTTTTTTGTATTTTTCCAAGTGTGACATTTAAATCCCCAGTGGTTGGAAGCGGACTTCCCTGACTGAGGTTTGGTGTAGCATAGTGAAGCCATTATAGAAATCAAGGTGGGACCGCTCACTGCTGTTATTGTAGCTACTTGGTTCCCTTTTGAGACTTCTTAAAAAATGGTTGACTCTCCATGCTCTCTGTCTCACTCTCTTTTCTTCTTCTTCAGGTTACAACACAGTGGTGCGGATCCCAGCTGGAGCCACCAACATTGATATCAAACAGGTCAGCTACTCTGGAAAGCCAGAAGACGACAACTACCTCGGTGAGTGTGCTGCGTGTTTGTGTGTCAGTACGACAATGTTGTAAGCATCACTGTATCAAATTGCAGGTTTTCTTGGGAGAATAAATCCAAAATGGAAGCAGTCCAACCTCATAACATGTATATATTACATCCCTTCAGTTCTCATCTCATGGGTCAATGCCATTATCCCCTAACATGACCATAAACCAACCAGACTTGGTGACCCTGAGCTGTAGAGGCAGGCTTTTAGTGAAGGAGGGTAAGGAGACATGGGCCAAACTGTTGTCAAACTGTTTTCCTAAAGGAAAGGAAACTGTCATTTATACTGAGTGTATATGGAGGAAACGTGGAGGGGCGTTGGTCCATCTGGTCATGGCAAACAGGGTTGGTTGGGAAAGCAAATGGAGTGTCAGCCCTGGAGAAAGATAAATGAGGCAGCAATAGGTGCTAATTAGAGGCATGTGGAGCCCAGGCCGCAGGAAAGTGGATACAGGGGTATAGGGTTAGCTGGACCCACCGGGCTCAGAGTGTGTGCGTGAGTTTTCTGTCTGTGTGTGTGCTTGCAGACGGGGGGAGAAAAAAAGCAGAGAAAAGGAGTTTTGCCTATGTTGTAAAGGCGGGTGCCCATTTTCAGATGGTTCAAGTCAGGTTCAAGATGTTTTAAGTGTCAGAAAACACATCTGGCACAGTCAGGTTGCCATGCTGCTGTGAAAATCTTGACTCCCGCTGTTGCTGAGTGCCACAACTGCACGTTGAGTGAGTGGTGTCTGTATTAAATGTGGTTGGTATTTGCAACGCCCTGCCAATTTTGTCACTCCAGTTGGTACAGTATGTAGAAAGCACAGCACTCTTGACATAAAAAGCAGACTGGGCTTTTGAAGTCGTGGCTCTTTTACTTTGAATCTCTGTCCTGTTGGAATTTGACAATGTGGACAGTTTAATTTATTTTTCCATCTCTATTTTATGTCTTTCTTTGTATTTTATTGTGAAGCACTGATCTAGAAAGGTGCTATATAAATATATTTGACTTTCATACTTACAATGCTGTGGTGTATGCACACTTAGGGTCCAGTGCAAGTATTTGATGACAAAGCCAGGGCATCTGTGCTTTGTCAAGGACAGACAAGAAATCCGGTGCTTTGTTTCCTAAAGAAACTCTACAAATACAACAGAAAAGAAAAGAGGTTAAATGACACAGAGTGCAATCAATGTAAAAAATAATGTAAATAAAGATAATTCCTTACAGTAGTTTCTCACTGGTACTTTGTTCTCTTGCTTTTTCAAAAGAACCATTAAATTGAATGGTTAAATGAGTATAGAAATGGTGTGGAGCATTTGCTATGGCCTCTAAATAAACACATGGAAGATTGTGGAGAATCTATGCTAAGTTTTTGGGGAGAACTGAAAATAGTCTGGAACCTCAACACATTTTTAAGGCACTTAAAAAATACTTTTGACCCATCTGTATCAAAACATTAAGGGGATTTAGAACAGCTTGCATACAGGAAAAAACTTCATATTTTGCCACCATGTCACATCAACTCATTTTTTCTACTGTTCAACAATCAATGTGTAGATTTTTCTGGAAGATAGGCTGTAGAAGAAGCGTCTGGAAAAAAAGGAGAAAACTTTAAGGTGTTCAAACACTGAGTGTGTGTGGGCTTGTGTATCTGCACTTTTGCTAGAACATTTTTCTTTCCAGTTCTGCAAAGCGTCAATGATGACAACCAGATTCTGTAGATCATTGTCAAAACCCCATAGACCCCACAGTTGTCTTTGGGCTAAAGACTAGCTGGCATCCAGCAATGTACAGACTTAAATGTAAACAAAGTTGCGTCTAGAGACTTAATCACATACATCGTTTCGGCATGCACCCTCAGATCATGATCAGAACTGCATGTTTCTTGGAACCATAGTATTTGAGGTAGAGAAAGAGGTGGTTAGTGTTGATTTTGGGTTTATGTGCTCGTTTGCCAAGTTTGCATGTTTATCCATGTGTTCCTGTGTTTTATTTGCGTGTGTATGTTTATGTATTTGTTTGTATTTGCAGTCAGTGGAGCTTCTTTGTTTGTATTTCAATGTCAGTCATTAAGAAAAGTCTCACAATCTTACTCCAAATAACTCCAATTTAGTGCCACCAGTGTTTCAACATACCTCCCCTGCAACGATACTGTAGCTCTGCAGAACAATAGGTTGGCAACTCGAAAACGCCTGAAATGATGAATGCCACATCTCGTAAACATTCCCTAAACCTCAATTCAAGTCAAACTTGTTTTTAGGAGCCAAACATTCCTTCTCTTATGCTGAACTCATTCCCATTTCACAGCTCTTTGTTGTTTATGGCTCGTGATCAGATTTTTTTTTTCTCTTTTCTGTCCATTTCTAATTCCAGCATTAGCCGATAGCCAGTCCAACTCCCTCCTGAATGGGAACTTTGTGGTGGCCATGTTTAAAAGGGAAATCACCTTCAAGGGAACCGTCATTGAATACAGCGGCTCGGACACAAAAGTGGAGCGCATCAACTGCACTGAACGCATCGAGGAGGAGCTCATTCTGCAGGTATTAGGAGGACACCTTATCCTTTTAATTTCTGTGTTATATTTTTACTGTATTTTTCTCTGTTTTTCCTCCTCTCATGCTGCTTTAGCCTTGATCTCTACACATCTTCTTCTCACCTACCGACATACTGATCTTGATCTCAAGACAAAATAAGAGAAGCACTGTTAAGACTTCTGACCTTGCCTTTCCCACCATTGTTTCCACAGGTCTTGTGTGTGGGAAACCTCTACAACCCAGATGTCCGTTACTCTTTCAACATACCCATCGAGGAACACAGGGAGCAGTTTGTGTGGGATCCTTTAGGCTCCTGGCTGGAGTGCAACCGCATCTGTCAGGGTAAGATCGCAGCTCCCAAATCTCCACACATGAAGAACATGATAACTTCTCTTTGGCTTCAGTGAGTCTTAAAAAGCTTTTAGTCTAAGTTACATATTGCATTATTGGTTCTTGTGAAGAAAGATTTATCGCTGTAGGGCCTTGTGGTTGAACTGACACACAGCTTTCACCTCCAAAAATCTGTAAAAAGTGAAATTTATAGGAACCATAATGTGTCTTACAGCTCGAATTGTATGAAATGTTATTGCATGAATAGATCCAAGTGTCAGTGCGCATTAGGAAAAGCATTTCTCATGAATCACTTGCACACACTTCTGGATTTAAACACCTACTCACTCATCCCCTCCTTCCATAAATCCCCCTCCAGGCAACCCCAATGTGACCCCGGCCAATCACATCGCCCAACACCTTCCCCTTTGCTTGGCCCTTAACCTGACTAAGCTCTTTAAATTTCCCCTTTAGAAGCAAGTTAGTCAGGCTCCAAGTGGGTCAGAGTGCACAGTGGGATTTAGTAAAGAGATGTATTTGTGGGGTCTTACTTTATAACTGACATGGACCCCTAAGGCTGTATGACGAAGGACTGGCTATCAGAAAGCTGGTCAGACTTGTTAAAGATGTAATATTTTGGCAAGTGAACTGTCTGCCAGATGGTGTCTGATACAAACCCTGCTTTTCATGTGTCTCTGTGCGTGTGTGTGTAGGTGAGCGAAGACGAAAGGCAGTATGCGTGCGTAAAAGTGATCATCTTGAGGTGTCGGACCAACGCTGTGAACATTTACCTAGTCCTGTTGCTGTTACTGAGCCCTGCAACACTGACTGTGAAGTCAGGTGCGCATTAATGCACAAAGACACACAAAGGCATACACACACACACACACACAAAACAAATTCCTACACAACAGACACAGCCAAACATTCTTCTGCATCTCCTCTCACACAGGTGGCACGTTGCTGGAAAGAGTGAATGTTCTGCTAAATGTGGCCCAGGCTATCGCAGCCTGGATGTCCAGTGTATGAAGTACAGCCTGGTGAAGAGACAGAGTGAGAGAATGGAGGCCAGTGTCTGTGGAGATGCCGCTAAGCCTCAGACCAGAGAGCCCTGCCATGGGGACTGTCTGCTTAAGAGCTGGCAGTACAGTGCCTGGTCACAGGTGGGATAAAGAGAATAATATAATTTCAAAGCAAACAAAATTGAGACCCGGGTCCACTTAGGGGCATATTTGAGGGTTTTTTGGAAAATAAATGTGTATTTAATGTCTAATATATACTGTATATTCCATTATAATTATATGTTGCCATGCATATAGTATATTGTATGTTGCATATGTATGTTGGAAAGAAAAAAATGAAAAAAATCTTTTCATAATCATAATCATTTCATTATTATAGAAAGTACAATATAGATAAACACGTGATTAACTTAACATGTTCAATGCATTCTTGTGCATAGTGCTCTAAGACATGTGGACGCGGGAGGCGTAGCAGAGAGTCTTACTGTATGAATAACCTGGGTAGACGGCTGGTGGACAGGGAGTGCAACGAATACCAGAGGGTGGTCACTGAAACCTGCAACGACCAGCCATGTCCGAAGTGGACGGTTAGCGAGTGGAGTGAGGTGGGGAACCTCTCACACACATTACACACATCTTTGTTAATCCCTAGAAGGGGACTGTGAAGCATATATCTACAAGCTTTGACACACTTCCAATAAGAAAACTAGCCTTCAGCATAACTCAGGACTAATAGAGGTTAACAATAAAGTCAGGGGTGTACTATATAAATCGGGGTGGACCAAATTGCTATAAAATATAATTCAATTATTAGGTTACACCTTGACAACAACATAACAATCCTGCAACAAATCCTACCTTAATGAAGTTTATAATCCAATTTTATTGACAGAGAGGTGTCAGTGTAACTCTATGATCATTTTAGAGGTTGTAGTTTAAATTGCTGTTGATTTGTGTTGCATAGTATTAAAATGTGTTTCTGATATGTACTCCTCCTCCACACCCTGCCACCCCCACCACCCTTCTCACCCAGTGCCTGGTGACTTGTGGGAAGGGGATGAAGCACAGACAAGTGTCCTGCAGCATGGGAGCCGGGGAGGAAAAGCTGAGTGAGCACTTCTGTGAACCGTCCAGCAAACCTCCTGCTGTTGGAAGCTGCGAGATGCCAGAGTGTGCGTCCTGGCAGGTTGGCGTCTGGGGAGCGGTGAGTCCTGCAGACACACACACACACACACACACACAGATAAGACATAGACAAACTGGGGCGGGATGACTTGATGCAGTGTTTGACTGAGTAAATGGGTTTCACGTGTGGCTTGCTGTCTAGGAGTTTTACTCGTATCTGTTACTGTGTGTGTATGTATGTATGTGTGTGTGTGTGTGTGTGTGTGGTCACAGAGAGAATGTGGTGTGTAGGAGTGACGGGGTAAATTTCAAGTTTGTGTGTGTGTGTAACCTGATATACTGGCAAGTTACAGAGGAGTGTGCTCTGACTCCAGCTGCCATTTCCTCCATGGTGCTTTCACTTTGCCCTCATATCCTGTCAGACTAAACCTGACCCATACTGCGTGCACACACACACACAC